ACGCATAGCCTACGGCGTAGGTCCGACGCAGAAGTATAAATCAGCCTTTAGGCCTATTTATGCATCTGAAATTGCAGTTTAAATGCATCCATGTCCCCTCTGAGATAGGCCTACATTAAACTGTGTAAATACATCTAAATGCTATTTCAGATGCAGATTCCTGAAATGTTTTCTTATGTTGGAATGAAAGACACTAAGTACCGGATGAAGTGCTTTTTATTCTTACCCAAAAATACAAAATGGAAGAAAGAGTTAAAACTGATCACAATCTTGCTACTCTGTGTATGAACATTTTGTATATATATATATATATTTATTTGCTTCTTTTCCATTTGCACTTACTTGTACTTTTACGTTCAATACTTAAGTAGGCTACATTTCAGATTTAAAAAATACTTTTCGGACTCAAGTACAATAAATATCACATACTTTAAGACTTTTACTCAAGTAATATTCTAAACAGTGACTTCAACTTCTACCAAAGTCATTTTCTGGTAAGATATCTGTACTTTTACTTGAGTATGGCTTTCAGGTAGGCTACTTTATACACCACTGCTATTTATCTTACCGTCGTACAGCGCTGATGTAACGTTAGCATACATTTGACTGAATTGTTTGCTTTTGTCTTATTTCCTATTATATAAGCCTCTTATATTTCATATGTTTAATGGTCATTATTGTTCATTAAAGCTGACATTTAAGAAAAAGGCAGCGTAGTGTTTTATGTCATACGTTTATGCAGTGAAGACAATCAGAGTATATATATATATATATATATATGCACAGAATTGCCTGAACCACATATTAATGTTTTATGTATTTGTGTGTGTGTGTTTTATATTTCGTTTTGTTATACGTATACAGTGAGTGAAGATAATCAAAGTATGTCCGCGTTGCATGAAGTACATTTTTGTGGCTATTAATGTTTAAATGACAACGAAAAGAGGCAATGGTGTTTAAAATCATATTTCGTCTTATTGTGAAGGATAACCGGATTATCCAAGGCGAGATGAGTGACGTTATCAAGTACGCTGCTGTGTACTCCGGAGTCGAATTTGCAAAATTCGAACTGCGTACTTCATACTAAGAAACGGTAAGCAGTAAGTATGCGAGTTGTCGTGGCCGAGTGGTTAAGGCGATGGACTAGAAATCCATTGGGGTCTCCCCGCGCAGGTTCGAATCCTGCCGACAACGAAGCTTTTTTCTTTTCAGAACCTTACGCCAACCAGCAAACCGGAAGCGTTAGGTCAGCTTCCAGAGCACGTTGATTTTTTAGAATTCGACGACTTATATGGTTCATTTCTGAGCGGACTGCAAAGAAATGATCGTTTCTATGGTAACAAACGTAGCGTTCTCCACCGGATAATCATGGCGGATGATTTGGATGATTTACTTGATGAAGTCGAATCAAAGTTTTGTTGTAGCACGTCTGCGTCCAAACAATCAACTTACGCTTTAAAACAAACGGACCAAAAGTGTGCGAATCCTGAGGACAAGAAACAGTCAAGGTAATTTAGTAGTCTAGCGAGATTAGCACCCGGGCTAACGTAGCTAACGCTACATAAGCCTACTGTTTTAAAACTCAAACCTTTGCGCATACGGTCATTGCCAAACACTGTTGATGCGTTGTAGATGTACAAATAATGTATGTTAACAGCCTGACTAAAATCCTAAAAAGGTTTACCACGAGGCTAACAAAACAGCCTCACATGGTTATGATGTATACACCGTCTCCAAGATCTTAACAAATCCAGATTCTGCCTAGACAAAGTCGTGACATTTCGACTTCCACTGTTTCCAGAAAACAACGATGCAAAAAAGTTCAGCATGACAATGATGATATTGACGCTATGCTGCAGGAAATACTGGATGAGGATTATCAACCCATCAGCACTCATGTAAGTCAAATAACTGGACAAAACCTTGTTATGATCATTGAACAAGGTAAAGATACTGTTCACCGTAAATATATATCTATTTTTTTTTTTCAGTTTAATATTGCCAGTTGTTGTTTTTTACAGTGCACATTAATCATCTATAAACTCTCTTGTGAACTAACAGGAACCCACTGCAGACAAGACTTTCACAATGGATTCATGTTCTCAGACAATGTCCAAGAAGTAAGTTTTTAGTTTGCATTGAAACATCCAAATATGCCTTTAGAAGTTCTACAGGAGAAATTGAGCCTTTCATGAAACACTCACTTTTTCTGCAAACAGATGCTGTCCTGTGTTTCTTGGTGGAAGCTCTGTACCTCACGGTGTTGGAACCAGCGTTTCTCAAAGGTGAAAATTCATTTAGAATCAATCTTGCCTGGACTTGAGGGCCACATGCATATTTTAATGACATTCTAATGACCACAATATTGGTCATGATAGTCACTTAGATGTGCAAATGTATTCTGTGTCTGTAACTGTGTCTTGTTCTTGAAGGGCCTGCAACCATTTAAGATGTACGTCTTGCGATTTCAGCGTAATCATGTTTGAGGATCACGAGTGGGACTCCTCCTGTGACTACTTATTTTTCAGGTAAGGTATGAGCAAACATATCAGGAGAGAACATCATTTGATCAGGAGAGGGCAGCATTGATCCATGTATCCCACTGTAGCAGATGAAGCAGTTCGTTCATTTATTATCAATTCACTGATATTCTTAGACTGCCTCAGCATCAGCACGTTCAGTTAACGATGTCTTTGTTAAAGTCATCATGTTGCCTTCTTACAGATAAGCTTTATTAAATTTGTACATGCTGATAAAGAAATACTTTTGGACAAGCGTTCAACAACACAACATGCAAGCATTTTAATGCGAACCCTGTTTTCCGCCGGACTGCGTCATTTCCTTATTATCTTCAGCGCTGTGTCTTGCAGCGTCTCACTCAGCTTTAGCATCAAACAGACAGTGAATCATTTGCACCATGTCTTTTATGTTGTTCTTCCATATTTAGGCCATGATGCACTTTGCTGCGTGCTCAGACACAGCCAAGTTCTCAAGTTCAAGGGTCTTTGTATTTTAATGATGTTCAAGCTTGCAACTTTAATTAGGAGAGCATGTGTTTGGAATTTGTCAATGAAGCTTTAGAAACTTGAACTTGAAACTTCCCTTTTTAAACAGGTGATAAATCAGCTCATCAAGAAACTATCTGTTCAGGATTGTAGCTGCATATATTGCTTGTATTACTTGCTGTAGTTTAAAGTAAAAGATGGAATAGCATGAAAAGAAACCTTTATACTTCTGAAATATTATTTCTTCCAAATATTTTATGGTTGACAGTTCTTATCAGGAGTTTTTAACCACTTACAATAGATGCAGACTGTCTGCAAAAGACTTAAAGATTCCAAGGGCATTTGGATAGTTTGAAAAATGAACTCTGTACAGCCTGTTTTGAACCATGTGTTCATTAGTTCTTCAAATGGACGGTTCTTGCATTTAAGATCCAGATTTATTGGTTTGGGGGGAAAAAATAGTAAAAATAAAAAAAATCCTACAAATGTAAATAAAAATGGTCCATAAAATAGGCTTCCTTTTTTGTGCAAAATATAAAAAATGTTATTTATTTTTATTATTGTTACACTTATAATTTTCATATTATTATTATTAGGTTAGTGGGGTGAAATGGGACCTGGAAACTTTCATGGTAACCACAGGACCTTAGAGCTTGCTTATGTGCATTGGGTTTTCATACTAATGGCTCTTGTATTAAAATCCAGGCTCATTGTTGTAAAAAAAAAAAAAATAATAATAATCCTAGAAATCTATAAAAAAAAAAAAAAACGCTTCCTATTTGGTCCTTAAAGTAGGGCTAGAAATGTGCTTTATTATTGTGGAAAAAAAGGCTTAAATATTTTATATAATTAAATTATTTTTATATATAACATTTTTTTTAATTTCCTAGGGTGAAATGAGTCCATGGTAACCAGAGGACTTTAGAATTTTCTTATATGTTTGCTCAATCAAAAAATGAGGTTTGCAGTTGGTGAAAGTTCAAGAGATAAACCAAAGCAGTGAGCCAACTGTGTGAAGGAGCGCTCTGGGTTGAACTGGACATCTGTGAACTACAAGTACAGAAATATATTCAAATCCTCACAAAGCTTCTCTTCTGTCCCCTTCTTTAGGAATAACATGCCGGACTATCACAAACTAAAAGCCAAACTAAGAAGGTTCGGTGCAACTTATAACATCCAAGTGAAAGATATATAACACCAACATGTAAGGGGGAAAAAATCACTGAGTTTGAAGAAGGATCACCCCCTTGTGTCAGTATTTTGCTGAACCACCTTTTGCTTTAATTACAGCCTTTAGTCTGATGGGATATGTCTCTACTAACTTTGTAGAGACTTTAATTAATCAATATTTGCCCACTCTTCTTTGCAGAACTGCTCAAGTTCAGTTAAATTTGATGGCGACGGTTTGTGGACTGCAGTCTTCAAGTCATTCTACATATTTTCAGAGGGGTTTAAGACTGGGCTCTGACTAG